AGTCACACAATAGGCTATCTGAACTCTGTCTACCACGAGGTATCAAACCTGGGATTTTAGCATTGGAAGTCCGTAAACTTATCAATTATCGAACTAAACGAAGCTACTTCCAGCACCCTCTGTCTTGGACAGTGTTAACTGATTTTCGCAATATCCTCTAAGTTAAACTGCATTTAATTCATATCGCCAATCTTTCGAAGAAATAAGAACATAGTTTGTGGGAAAAGCGTTTTAATATGTTGTTTTGTAACATTCTGCACCTTGAAGTGTCTGTGGGAAATTTTTTTTCTCCAAAATATGTAGTTTTTAAGATGTATTCATTTGTAATTATACATTGTACATATAAGTTAGTCATAATTATTATTATTATTTCTGTATAATAACTTGTAAAGAAGAGAAGACAGCGGTAAGTTTACGAAATTACAACGCTAAAATCCGAGTTTCGATTCCCCGCGGTGGACACATCAGATAGCTCAATGTGGTTTTGCTATAAAGAAAAACAAAAAAAAAAAAAGATTCATATTTGTCGAATAAATAGCATAATATCTAAGTATAAAGTAACATTCTCATGAAATTTCTTTTGTTCTTTATATCTTAAGCATGTGTGTGTAAGTATATATTATATAAATTGAGGTTTTCGTAGTAATTATGTAAATAGCGTATTTGTGAGCGCTGTTTTGGTAAGTAGTTTTAAGCAATACATTTATGAAGTCCAAATCATCACGTTGCTATGATGGCAAAATATTAGAAAACCAAATGCTTCTAATTTCACTAACAGTATTTTTTAAAGTAAAAAAGGAAGATGAGATTTCAAAAAAAAAATTGTTTAATGAATTGAATATAGGTATAATAATATTAAAAATATATTTTCCTTCTAGATTTCGGCCCGGCATGGCCAGGTGGTTAGGGCGCTCGACTCGCAATCTGAGGGTCGCGGGTTCGAATCCCCGTTTCACCAAACATGCTCGCCCTTTCAGCCGCGGAGGCGATATAATGTGACGGTCAATCCCACTATTCGTTGGTAAAAGAGTAACCCAAGAGTTGGCGGTGGGTGGTGATGACTAGTTGCCTTATCTCTGGTCTTTCACTGCTAAATTAGGGACGGCTAACGTAGATAACCCTCGTGTAGCTTTACGCGAAATTCAAAAACAAAACAAACAACCCTCTCGATTTCCTATGTGTCCATCTTGCATACAACATTGAAATACATACCTACATACATGAATAATAAGTAATACAACTTGTGATGTATGTATACTTTCTCTCACCTTATATGTAAATAAATAGCTTTCAAACTATTGATTACATTAGTTGTTAATAAGCGATTGAATCAGAACTATAAAACAATAATGAATTAGATATCGCATTACCGTTATCGGTGCTGGTTGTCAACTTTTAATCATAGCGGTAATGCGATATATATATATATATATATATATATATATATATATATTA